TAATGAAAAAATGAATAAGATAAGACTACAAGAGCAAGAAGCAACTTAGATATGTTCAAGGACCATTTTCATCTTCAGAATTAATGATTATTTTAATTTTACATCATTGTCTTTTCTCTTTTACTTTACGTTTTAGTTTTATTTTAGGATTCCCTATTTTTAATGTTCATACAGAGATTTCTTTAACTGAGATACCGAATAGTTTCTCTGATGTGAAAAACTATAATAGTACACAAGATCCTAATGAGATAATTAAAAATGTGAAATAGGAAGTGAAGGGCTAAAGGTGTAGGGAAAGTGCGAAGGGTGGGGGAAGGTAATAAGGGAGAGGAAAGAAATATGAGAAATTGAAAAAATGGAAATAAAGTGTTTGTAAATGGGGAGGGGAGGAGGGGGTGAAGGGAGGGCAGGGACAAGGAGAAAAAATGAGAATCAAGACCTATCATGTAAAGGTACAGAATCCCAATAATGAATGTAACTGTACTGTATACCTAGATTGTACCAATAAACTCAATAAAAAGAAAAAAATTGATCATTTAAAAATAAATAAATAATTCATAAGGTGGCAAACCACCTCTGTTTTCTTCCAAAGCATGTTCCTTACCCTCAAAGGAAACTAAGCAGTTATTTTCCACTTCCAAGTTCTCTTAGTTCCTGAAAGCTATTAATATATTTTCTGTCTCTGTATTTATCCTTTCTGGATAATTTATATAAAGAGATTTATATGACACATGGCCTTTTCTGTCTAGTGTCTAATTTAGAATAGTCTTTACAAGGTTGGTCTATGTTGTAGACGTTATCAGTGTTTCCTTCCTTTTGATGATTGAATGACATTGATATATTAAAATTATTCCTCCTGTAAGTTGAGTTTTCTTACATATTTTTAACAGCGATAGAAAGCTGATGAACACAGAAAAATGTTGGGGTCACTGAAGTGGAGAGGGGTCATTGCTGTGACTGCACATGACCATGTGTTTCAGAATTGTTTTAGAGAATATTTTGAAAAAGTTTGGAGAAGCAAGCTAGAGAAAGCCCAAGTGCTATAAGAAGAGGTTCATGGAAAATTCTGGTGAGGGCTCAGAAGACCAGAACACAGATATAAATTGAAGAATTTCTGATGGGAATAATGACCCTGGGAAATTGGAATAGAGCAATTCATGTTACATTCTGGCAAAAAGTCACATCTATATTTTGTTCATGCTTTGAGACTTCATGTGAGCTGAGTATAAAAATACCAAACTTGTTTGTCTGGTAGAGGAATTTTCAAGGCAGCACAACTTTCATAATGTAGCATGAGTACACTGGCTGCTTTAGCCAGATTAATAATAAGAATCAGGAGCGAAAAACGAGGTGAAGAGATCTGAAAATGTTACAGTTTTGCCAGAAAAAAGAACACATTTAATGTTATGGCCAAGGAGGGTGTTGTTTCTCATGAGACTGGCACCATTAAATAGAAGCCAAATTCAAAGGGTCATATGAAAGCCACTGAAGGGTTCTTTGAGAAATACTGTTGGTACCGGTTACCTAAAGACCTCCCGGGAGGCTTCACCTCCCAAAGGGTCCATCACCTCCCAAAGAGTCACCTCAGGAACCAAGACTTTAAGCACAATGGGCCCTTGAGGAATATGTGGACCACACCCAAACTACAGCATGTATAGAACTTATTATAATATGTAACTATTGTATTATTTATTGTCTGTCTCTTCCTCCCCCACTACTAGAATATTTTAAGAAACCAAGACTTTTATCACTTATCGATGCATCTCAAGCCTTAATACCTGGACGATAATCCATACTCAATAATTATTTGGTGAATGAATGAATTAATGATGAATGAAAGCCTCTAGGGTGCTTCGTAAGGCACCTAGAATAGGTCCCTGGGACAAGGCTCTCAGGGAATTTTCATGCACTCCTCCTCTTCATTCTTCTCCCTTTGTCTATGTGTCACATTCCTTTATTTCCTCTTCAGTCCGTTTGCATTAATTTTCATTATTTCTTTACCTTCTTCTCATCTATTTGACTATACGAACACGGGATAAACATTTTCCTGAGTGGAATACAATACAGAGGTAAACATATGCTATCATTGAATTAAACAGACTTAGTGTTTGTAATAGTTTCTTACCTATACCCTCTGGTTCTATCCTGGAAAAAATATCTGGTATTTCAGTTTTTAAAAAGGATGATTGGTTTAATATAGCTCCACCTACTTCTTATGTACAGCAGTGCATTAATTTAGGACTAATGACTCATATTGGTATAATAGTAATTATACCAATAGTTGAGGTTATTAAATATCATACCTTAACACAAGTTGAAGATGTTGTAGATGTTGCATATTAGAAGTTGCACTGTTTTACTACTAAGAAAGGGGAAAATTCTGCTGACTATAAACTATGACATGATACTTTCTAACATTTAACAGTTGGCTGTTGCTTCGCAAATAAATATGCAATTTTAGTCCTCTCTCCATTTGCTTTTGTTCTGTCAAGTTTGTGCACAACTGCTGTGTTGTACCTTCTGGGAACACATGAACTTTGGTTTCAATGCTGAGTCATGGAATAACCTTTCCTACGACGTCTTAAACAGCAATGGAATTAAACACTGGTATAACAACCATGCACACAGTTCAACAGAAGTGGTGATGTCTTTAGTGCTTATAAGCAATGTGAGGCCGCTCAGGACAGTAAATGCATGTGGATTCTGATGGGAAGATGTACAAGGGCTGATCAAGAAATGAGCATTTGTTTAAATAAAAAATTACAGCAAAATTTGCCATTAATCCCTTTCAAAATACCCCCTCTCACTTCAAATATACTTACCCCACTGTTCTTGCCATTTTCTGAAGCATTCTTAGAAGTCTTATTTTGTCAATGTCTTTATGAGGTGTGATGAAAAATAGAGTGAGTGTAGCTGCCTCACGGCACCCCGTGGAAAGGCAGATTTGTAGAAAAGGCAGTTTGATATGTCCTCATCCATCCTGTTTACCACGTCTGGTGTTATACCTCTCTGGCTCTTCTCCAAAGTCACAGTGACCACAGGAGGTAAACATTTTGAATCCATTCAGAACTTCCAGAGCTGTTTCAGAAAGTGGCAAGAACCATGGCATAAGAGTCTGAAGAAAAGAGAAATATTCTGAGAGAGATTAATGGCAACGTGTCTTTTACTGTAATACATTAAAAATTTAACATTAACTATATGTTTTGATCACAGCGTACAATTTACGATTCTGGATTATAAAACACTTTGTGATTCTAGAGCTATGAGAATGCAAAAGAATGTATTTTAGAGTCAATAAGTCGATTAGTAACATAGGACTTTTTTCTTTCATAGAGGGAAATCAGACAAGGACTCACAACGAACCTGTGCATCTTTGAAAGAATTGTCAAGCTCATTGTGTTCATCAGACATGGTGGACGATCAGAGAGGGCAGCGAGTTTCTTTGACTGGAAGGACTTTAAGGAAAATGACTAACGTGGTGGCACTGGGGAGTTGGAGCCGTTATTATGGTTTTGGAGCGGTCAGTTATTTGAATCTTATCCTGTACAGCATAGTGGAGCCGGGGTTCCTTCGGCTCGATGGTCCTTGTCTGCCCTCTAGAGGTATGCGAGGGTAATTAAATCCTCATGCTCACCCACTCTGGAATAGTTCGATTGTTTTCCTATTTTCTTCTAATATTCCCCAAATCTTCCAAGTCTCACGATGAGCTTTAACATTATTCAGAGTATTACATGTGAATTTTTTGTTTATTGTCATATATATATATATATATATATATATATATATCATATATGCAGTATTCATCACTTCCAGAGCACTTCTATGGCTGTCATTGGGCTACACATTGTTTTCTTATTGCAACTTTTAGTTCAGAGCAACCTTGATGATGACAAAAACTGAAGTTTACAGAGGATTAGTAACTTTATCAGGGATAGCACTGGTAATGGTAAGTCAGTATTTCAAAGCCAAATCCTCTTGCCATTAATAGCAATTTTTATACATTTCTGTGCGATAAACTTGTGGATGTGATAAAACATACACCCCAATGAACAGAGAACCTCTTCTGGGACAGTTTAGAGGGTGGGAGTCCATGAAGTATTCACCTGCTAGCCCTGTAGTACCTAGAATTGTTCCTTGCGCAGAAAGAAAAATTGTGAATGAAATAAACTCAGAAAGCCAAGCAGTTATACCAGCATCTCATAATTAAGAAAGAGAAGTATCTACTCAGTGAATATTGGATGTACGTGAGTTTGAGGCACCTTGGTAGATGCTGAGGATTCAAAGATGAACAGATATAGTCCCTTTCCTCAAGGAATTCTCATTCTACTGGATGTCTGGTTGGAGGGGGGGAGTCTGAATGATAAACTGGGACACAATAATTATTAAGCTGTACACGTCCCAGATCCAGTTCAAAAGAAATCTTGAAAATACTACGAAAGCTACAATTCCTGAGCTAGAAAAAGTTCTGCTGTTGGGTGTAGGTTGATGATTCTGAGGAAGAAGGATGAACCAGGTGAAAGATTTGGAAAAAAGATAAACTTAAACTGCACTTGAGCTGTGTCTTCCACCCCTTGGCTCAATTTCTAAAGGATTCCGGCTAGAAAAGGAGATTTTCATATGAGGATTAAAACAGATATCACACAGCCTCCTGGATCTCATGCTCACTTACTGGCATGACATGACTTTTCAAATAATGCAATCTGCTTCAGATATGCATCTGAAGTTCTCAATTATTTTTGGAAACGGGGGCCCAATCTTGCCAGTAAACTTGAGCTTTTACATAACATGACAGATGGTGTGGTCAATGTTTTTTGATTATGAAGCAAACTCTAGAAAAGTAGCAAACCAAAGCGATGGTTCTCTATATAAACTGTAAGTTATCTTTCACAGCACTTCATTAGAGAGGTGGCTTTGAGGGCTAAAAAGTAGGTTATCTTCTCTAACCAACACAACTAACAGGCTGCTGTGAGTGACTCAAGCTCAGGGTAGGGGAAAGGGCAATGTGGGTGAATCGCATTTCAAGGTCTGGGTTGCTGTGTGTTACTCTATTTCTTGCCATTGCCAAGCACAAGCCATCTCAATCTTCCTTCACCAAAAGTTGTCACTCCAGGGAGTCACTGTCCCAAGCTGTGGACACACTCTATGTCACAGCAGACAGGCTAAAGGCGGCGATTCCAGTAAGTATTGGGTTCTGCTTAGGAGGAAGGCTGAAAGGATGCTGTAATTCTGCAACTCCTCTTTATTTTGTTGTAGGAAGATCGCATAAAAAATGTACGATTATTAAAAAAGAAAACAAAGAAGCTATTTATGGTAAGCAAGAAAGCCTTTTGAATTTTCACCTCTCTGTCTGATGATCTTTTTGCTGCATTAAATTTTTCCAGGTAGCAAGTAATAATCAGGGAGATGTCTCAGTGACATGAAAAAACCAAACTATTCATACAGATGCACTTTCTTGTATCTTATTTTTAGAAAAGCTGCAGATTCCAGGAACAGCTTCTTTCCTTCTTTATGGAAGATGTGCTTGATCAACTCCAATTACAAATTTTCAAGGATATACACTTTGTAGAAGACTTTCATAGCTTGAGGCAGAAATTGAGGCGCTGTGTAAGTATGCACAACATAATGCTATGAGTTGGAACCTAGAAACTTACCTAAAAAACAGCTGTCTCTATGCCAGCTGGTGAGTAGAAAGGATTTTCTCACTGTTGGCTTGCAGTCCAAAGGGGGAGTCCTTCGCCAGGAAACAGAACTGGGGGACCATGTATGGCTCATAATGCCAGTAAGATTTGTCAAAAATTACATGTTATATACTGAAAAAAGCTGAAATAACATGGAATATTAAATATTCATTTAAGCCATTCCCTAATCCCCAAGTAACTCCTTCCTTCATCCAACAAATATTTCTTTGACACCAACTTTGTGCCAAACATTATTCTGTCTCTATTTCTCTGTATCTTTCTATTCTCTTCTCTTTTTTTGTACTGTAATGATGAGAACCTTTAGATTTCCCATTTCTTATTTATTTATCTAACTTTAAGATACTAGTACCCTCTTTTGAAGGCACAGTTACAGCCAAAACCTGAAAAAGAGGGCCTTATCCTCTTTCCTAACTAAATTATTTGATGCCTCAGAATTGTTATTGTCAGAGGAAATAATGGGAAATTAATTAAAAAGGTAAAAGTGTTGGTGATCCTCCAAAAATATCCATAGAATTAAAATATCATTGCTGGGAAAAAAGCCAAGATCTGTGCAATGTTAGTTCAGTTGCTCCTTGTGAAGTGTTGAATCTTTTCTGTTACTTGTTTGGGCTCCAACAAAGCCTCTTCTGGCCTCTCGCTCTTGTACCCTGCAGATGGCACAATGGTGGGTGTTGATCACCATCATAGCTTTCTGGGATACAGGATGGAAATGAGCTTTGTACCTTTGAGCATCCTGACATTGAGACTTCAATGCTGTGCAGTGGGAGGTGGTTTTTGTTGAGTTAGGTTGTCTTTTTCTTGTGGGCCACTAGAGGGCTTATAACCCACATTCTAGAGTTCAGGGCAGAGGCATTTTATGACTGTGAGCTAGTCAAGGTAAAAACAAAACAAACAAACAAACAAAAACAAAACACTAGCACATTTAATTCTTATCTGTTTAGCTTATCTTTGGGACTTGAGTTTCATGTTTTTTCATAAATTCTCTTATTCTGTTAAAATAGCAATGATAAAACTATAAATAAGTGCTGCAGTTTGTAGAACTATAGGGAGAATGCCTTGCCTCACTTCCCTTGCCTACAATGGCAAGAGCATTGTGTATTGTTGGCTTATTCCGTACTTAACCCAGGAGGTCATCTTCTTAAGGTAACAAAAAATTAAGTAGTCTTCTACATAAAGTTAAATTACGTAATTTTGCATTTCGTTTACCACCAATGGATTGTTATTACACCCTGTAAGAGTTTTTCCACCAAAAGATGTGAAGAGGAGGATGAAGGACCTGACAATGGGGGAAATAATGAGACCAGTGTAGGCTAAATGGGGTCATCCCAGAGACAAGGGAGCCTCTGCAGTCCCGGCATCTGGAACACAGGGGCCCTCTGCGGCCTTTCAAAATGGGCGTTAAAATAGACCTTTTGTTTCTTTTCTTGCTATTCAAAGAGAGCTCTTGGTTTGTGTGCATTAGCTGTCTAATTTATGCTACCCTAAAGGTAGCTTGATGCTTGCAGTGTATGTGGACACCTGGACTCCCAAATCCATGTCTGTTTTATCAATGATTTGATTTCAAATGTATAACGATAATAATATTCTAAATGAAAACTTCCAAAACTTAGATCTAATAAATCTGGTTTTCTTTGATTTGATTTTGGAGCAATTTTTTTCCCTAAAGGAAACTCAAATTGGTCAGTAGACATGCTTTCGCACTGTGTGTGCGTGCATGCGTGCGTTTGTGCCTGTGCCTGCGTGCGTGTAGAGACAGGGACTTTTGTTTCTCGGTGGCGGCAGCTTTAAAGGTGATGCCTCCCCCTGGTGGTGAAATGCAGACACACTCTCCATCAACCTCCTGCGCAGAGGAACTGGGGCTTTTCTTTCATCTGCCTCCCAAGCCGGTGTTGTCAGCTGCAGTTGGTTTGTTTCTCAAGCTTTGGAGTATAGGCCCTGGATAAAACATCCTGTGAAAAGGAAGTAATAGGATCAGCCTGAGATTTGGAAAGCCTCCGCAGACATTGCTTTAGGGAAGTAGGTATTGCTTTGTGTTTAATCTTTTTGCCAATCGCAATTTAATTTTGGCAACAACAGAAGCTCTTGTTTTTTTAATATAAATTTATTGAGTATCTGCTCTATAGAGAACTATGAGTTTAGTAATCGGGGAAGGGCTTGGCAGGGAGAAATTCTAAAATGTGAAGTAGACAACATTCATGAAATCATATTTTCCTAATAAAAATGGCCACTTCATATGGTCAATATATAAGCGGCATGTATAGAAATCTTACTTGCTGTATTTTCCCTGTTGTCCCTACTGTTGTGAGAAAAATGAGAATAGACGGTGCCCACCAGCCGATGTACTCTATGTGTTTTGTAGGAAGACACCCGGGAAAGGAAGGCAGGTAACCTCTCAGGAGGAAGAGAGCTCTCAGGACGCGGAGCAGAGGTGTATAGGTCATGGCAGAAAAGGAAAGGTTTCCAGGAGCGGGGACTGGAGGAGGCCTTTGAGTCCCGTGGAATCTCTCCACAGATCGTTGGTCTATTCAATATTGGCGGAAATCTTCCATGATCAGGAGCCGACAGAAAATGGCCAGCTTTTATTTCTAGGATTCTGGAATAATCCTAAGTGTCCCGTAGGATTTTGGCGGGCTGACAGGACAGCCTGTGCCTTTTTTCTGCTGCCTTTGCAGAGTTCAGTGCTGTCTGTGTTCAGCACAGTTGATTCAGGTACAGCATTTTAATATATAGTCCATTTGCTTAATGTGTGTATTTACTTAGTATCTGAAATTATGTCAAAAATAAAACATAGGAGTGTTGCTTTTCTGAAAAATTTCTCGGATATGACAACAAAAAAGGTGAACATATTACAGGCTATCTTATATAACTTAGAAAATTCAGTAATTATTTATTTTAGATCTTAGTGTAGTTATTTAAAGGCAATGAACGTTGACTGCTTTTTATAAATTATTATATTGTATATGGCCTTTCAAAACGTTCTGGTCTGTATAGATCTTTCATAGATCTTTTGTTTCTGTTGACACTTTTTAATGGACATCCCGGTACTTAAAACTCATCTCTTGGTTAAAGGTGAAATGCTATTTTAATTTTGATAGAATTTTTTTTCTTCAGAGAATATTTTATCAAATAGGAGTTAACTTTGGGTGAGTTTGCGAGTTGTACAGTGGTAAAGAGGATTAAGTTTCTGCTTTAAAATTTACAGTGGTCTTCCTTGATATAGTTAGTTTACACTGGCTTACTTTTGCTCTGTGTCACCAGAGAGAAAACTTCAATTCTAGAACGACAAGGAATTAGACAGTAGCTCAGCTGTTGTTAGCATTTCTCTCATTTTACTATTCCTGTATATGGAACTTTGTGATTGCCAGCTAGAGACCATGGCACAGCTCTTGTGATATTTGCATCACCCCACTGAACACTGAGCATTTTTAGATACTTTATTTCAAAATTTGTGCATAAAAGTAAATGTCAATGACAATTAAATACAGACATGTGCCACATAATGACATTTCAGTAAGAAACTGACTGTGTACATGGCAGTGTTCCCACAAAATAGCAATGGAGCTGAAAAATCCCTATTGCCTAGTGACATCCTAGCTATCCCAACAGCCCGACACAATGCACTTCTAACATGTTTGTGGTGCTGTGGGGTAAACAAACCTGAGTCACCACCAGTCATATAAGTGCATAGCATATACAACTGAGTAGAGAGCGTGCAGCTTGAAATTTAGGTCTTTATGGTACTATATTTTATTAATAACTTTAGAATGTACTCCTAACTTACTGAGAAATGTTTGCTATAAAATTGTATGCTGCTTAAGGCTGTCAAAAGCCTCATACATCTTTTGAGCACCGTGACTTTTGATTTTACCAGATAATCCCTGTGAAGTGATTGGTTTAACCTCAGTTCTGTGTGAATGCAGTCCAGGATCTTCACACAACAATACAACAATGGAATCAACCAGCTTCACATTTTTCTTTTTTGGTACTAGGATTCGAACTTAGGGCCTCATGCTTTCCACCATTTTGAACAAAGCACGACTGTAGTCCTGTTTCTTTTCTTTCCTCATATTCCTTTTCAGGCACTATTGTGCCACTCATTACTATTTTGTTTCTAAAATTTCTATTTTAAATTGACAAATCATGGCTGTATACATGTGAGGCACACTTTTATGAACACAAATGTGGAATAATTCAGTCAATACTGGACATATCCATCCCCTCAGATGCTTATCATTTTTTTGTGATGAGAACACTTGAAATTTGCTCTTAGTAGTTTTGAAGTGTACATTGTTCTTTAATGTGCTCGCAAAGCTGTACAACATGCATATCTCAAAGGGAAAAAGTCCCTCACATGTTCTTCCTGCCAAATTGAGGCTTTGTAGTATCTGGCCATTTCCCCCATTTCTTCCAATCCCAGCCTCTGTAACCACCTTTACCTCCCCACTTCTCTGAGTTAGGCTGTCTTAGATTACACATGTCTGTAAGAACATGGAGTGTTTGCTTTTCTGTGCCTGGCTTATTTCATTTAGCGTAATGTTCTACAGTTCATGCAGATTGTGAAATGAAACTTTCTTTTTTAAGCTAAGCTGTAGTCCATTATTCATGTATAGATATGGCATATTTGTATGTCTTCCTCTGAGAAATATCTAGTCAACTTTCCTACCGAATTAAAAATCAAATTACTTGTTTTCTTTCAGTAGACTTCCTTAAGTTTCTTATAAATTTTGAGTACCACTCCCTTACTACATATACTGAAGATATTTTCTCGTTCTCTGCAGTTTGTTTCTTCTCTGTTGATCATTTTCTTTTTTGTTCTGCAGAAGTTTTTTATTTTAATGTAATCTGTGTGTTTTACTTTTGCTTTTGTTGCCTGCACTTTTGGAGTCAGATCTGAAATATCACTGT